CTGGTCAAAGTAAAAAGTTTCTATTATTTCTTCCACCACTGTATGTATAAAAACCCATTTAGTTGACACGTTTACTAATATTCGTGTAACCGATACCCACGCATGTCATCAGTACTTTTTGCGCCCCTGGCAGTGCATCTTGTTCATCGTCACTTTTTGGATTTTCCAACTTGAATGTTATAGAAAAGAAGTCGCGCAAATTTTGCAGAAAGTGTATGGTATACGTGGAAAGTGGACCTAAATAGGGAGACTTATTAAAGAGCTATGTATATTGAATAAAACATCATTTTACCAGTCAAGAATTTTGAAACATTTTTCTGACTCAACGCCATGAATAGAGTAACAAGCCACTGATACGAAGAGTCGCAGCAACCTCCGCGATAAATTTCATCAAGCAACTTCATCGCAGCTTCACGGCCCAAATCTTCAGGTACTGACGGATCGTTTCCCTGCTCAAGTAATGCTTTTATATTTTTAATATTTATAACATAGGGAAAACATACATCATCTTTGCTATTTGATATGCTTTCTGCGGCGTAACTAACATCGTCTGTCGTCTCTGCTATTAAACAAATACCGAATCCAGGGGAATTACCAGACATTTTACCACGATTCTGATCTGTGTAGATGTACACGTCAGGCAAAAACTTTAGCATCACTCCTTTTGCTGCTTCAACCGTACGATTAGCCATTGCTGGCGATACTTTGCAAGCGTATACTGTGCCGCGTATTCGTTTTACCATGCCTTGTGATTGTAATTGCAGTGCCCGCAAATTTTTTCGCACAGGACATCGAAATTGGATTTCACCACCGCCAAGAGGAGGGACACCTCTACGTACTACTTTTAGCTCTAGTCCATCATCCACAATTAAGAAACGTTTTAAAACAGGTAGCGCTGACCCTTTAATGTGATCTATGGATGGCGAATCTTTGCTATTTGTAACACCTTTTAGAGTTGCGTTAATTGGGTTTTTACAGAATGGGCCAAGGGCTATCAATGCATCCAAAAAGTAGCCTATACCACGATACACGCAACAGTCGTGTTGCAATGCACCGCCATATAACAAACCTGGTGTGAAGAGTATTGAAGTTCCCGATGGATTAAGTTCAATTTTGGTCCCATTTGTTAGTTTATCAAGTAGCCGTATGAAACCTATTTCGTATTCTCGTAGACCAGGAGCCTTATCATCATCTAAATTAATATGTGTAATTTTCACAGGTTTTCCACTAAGGCAGGAAAGTATAAGTCGCTGAAAATATAACACAACCATCCGGTTCAAAATAGTGTACGAGTAATATTTTTCCAAGTTCACCTGTTTCAAGAAGTTGCTGCCTTTATAAATTAAGCTATTTCCCTCTTGTGCTATAGGTGGCATATTTTTACAATCTGTTTAATGTAAATTTTTCAAAAAATTAAAAACTGTAAAATTGTTTATATCTGGGGCACGTGTATTCAAACGTCAAAGCGAGTAAACAAACGAGGTTTGGCAGCACCGACAAGAAGTCCAAAAAAAAATCGATTATGACATCGACACATACACATACAATTTGTTTAATTCTCGACACATCATCGATGTCTATAGAGTGGAACGATTAAAAGTGAAACTTGGAAAAGTAGGTTTTTTCCCTAACAATCCGGACCGGATCCGGTAATTAGAGAATAGCGAAAAGTTTGCTATCAAAAGTGAAACAAAGTCCAGAAGTACAGGAACGCAAAAAATCACATTTCGTGCCCAGTATTTGAGAAACAGGTGATTCACGTGGTTTTTGTCTCTTAAATGCAAACAGTTGGTAATTGAATTTCGGAGTAAGAGTCCGGGTAAAACTTCGTCAGAGTGCACCACGCTTTGAACANTCACTTAAATGCAAACAGTTGGTAATTGAATTTCGGAGTAAGAGTCCGGGTAAAACTTCGTCAGAGTGCACCACGCTTTGAACAAAATGACTTTTGTGGGAGGGTAGAGGGGGTCCTACACATCACAAAATTTCACCCAACAAAATGTACGATAACAAACCATTTCAAACAAAGGGAAATCTTTAGCTGTTTGTATAACGATTTAGGGGTGGGGGCGGAGGGGGGGCCGTGGATCCCCAAACCCCTCCTAAACGAAGGAGGATGAACGCCGCTTTATGAAAAGTCACCCCTCATCATACCTGCTCCCCCCCTAAAAACCCCTTGGGAGCTGTTTTAAAATAGGGCAATTTTAGATTTTTGGCAAGTAAAAAACAAAGTTAAACTTGCGTCCGAAGAAGGGGGGCTGAACACCCTTTGCAGAGAACACCTATCTGCGTAGGCGGCCTTTGGCCGCGCTTAGGGATTATAACCCTTNACTTGCGTCCGAAGAAGGGGGGCTGAACACCTTTTGCAGAGAACACCTTTCTGCGTAGGCGGCCTTTGGCCGCGCTTAGGGATTATAACCCTTTGTCGTAGATTATTGAGAATAGCGCAGATTAAGCCAATAGATAAATGATAATCGAAATAAAATTGAAAAATTGTCGCTGAAAGTAAAAAGGTGTTCGCACGAGGCGATTTTGCGGAAAAAAAGTTGAATGGCTAAATGTTGGCTGGCGACCAGCTTTGTTGAAAGCGATTAAATGAAAGGCCGTTCAACCAAAAATAGAATGCAAAGTTGGACAATGCAAACGCCTTTTTATGGCGAATATTTTGATATTTTTTTTAAATATTTTTATTGAGCTTTGTACCACGA